CTTCAGCAAGTCGTCTTCACCACATCTAGATTCCTAAATGCATTGAGTTGCTGCCATGTGATTGGCTGATTAGCAATTTGTGTTACCAAGCAATTGAACAGGTGTACCTAATAAAGTGGCCGGTGAGTGTATATATATATATATATATATATATATACAGACACAATATATATATATTTATTATACACACACACATATACACACACACAAAGAAAAACGAGTAGATAGAATAGAAAAAAACAGAAAGCTAGTGTTTCTTTGTTTTTTTTATAAAAAAAAATATATATTTTAACAAAATGCTTCTCTCTAGAGTTATTTTTCTAGCAAACTATCAAGCTGTGAACATTAAATGGCATTGCGGAGGTAATTTCTTTTATCCGTTATGACGTCTTTCCACAATTAAAAGATTGAGTGAGTACTTCAATATTTCAGTAAGTGTTTATGTTGTGCTATAACTAGTAGTAAATGGGCTTAAACTGAGCCGCTACCGCAATCTGCCATGTCACATTAAAGAGCACCAAAACTGTTTTTATTGTTTAAATTTCATGCTAAAAGAAGAGAATTTTAAAGCTGAGACTTAATATCAAAAGTAACAAAGCTTATTATGATAATTGGATGGCAGTCACTCTACAAATTAGTGTAGTGATGTTTTAGTCACGTTTCAACAGAAAACAGCATAGACTAAAAGATCGATTTTGGAATTTAAAGCTGCAGTCTGTAAGTTTTGCCTCTTTACTTTTCTTTTGTGCATCGTCACGGCTCCTCAGTGCGGATGAATCGAATGTTTTGATGTGTGACTGTCAGTCACCGCACTGGTGTGGATACTGTACTTTGGAATCACAGATCCTAGCCTACGTCTTGGAAGTATGACCCAAATAAGAATTTTCAAGCAAGTAACAAGTCTGCCACTTTTGTTCTGACCAACCGAGGAAAAAAGCATTACAATTAATTGTGCTACCAATAGTGATTAAATCTAATGATCGGTTAGCTCATATCACATGGCTGATATGGCTAGGGCTGCTCGATTATGGCAAAAATCATAATCACGATTATTTTGGTCAATATTTTAATCATGATTATTTAACACGATTATGAGTGGGCCATATGGCCAAAACTTTATACGAGTGATTTATTTAAAGAGTTTGATATATATGAAATATATATTTTCTGTAAATAAGGTTGCTATGAGATCTACATTCTAGAGACCAGAGAAATTTCACAATTCTCAATACCACAGCAGAGTATTAGGGTAACTGATATTAGTAACAAACAAACAAAAAAAGTCCTCAATTATTTAAAATAATTAAACTGTCAGTAATAAAAACAAAAAACAAAGGACAAATGCAATAGAATAAAAAGATACAAATGAAACAAACTGTGCTTTAAGGTTTTTTTTATGTTCATTTACTACATGACCGACGAAGGTTTATGTGAATAATCACTAAGCGCCGCATTTGGACAATCCTCCTGAGGAAGCGCAAGTTCTCTTTAGCGCTTTTAAAAACATGAATAAATCTAATACACTTCAATAAATCAAGCACAGCCCATTTTGCAAAAGTCACGTTACATGATTTTACCGATTTGCACATGAAATTGGGCTTTTATGGAGGAACGAAAGCGCACCGCTGGAAAGGGGGCGGAATGGGATGCAATAATCGTTCTCTCAATTATTGTATCTTCATAATCGCTGGAGGCCAAAATCTAAATTGTTTTTCAATTAATTGCACAGCCCTACATCAAACCGTGCAAATTATTATTATACTTTGTTCTCAAATTGTTAATGTTAACAACATCAGCACTGCGTGACTACATATATGTAGTGTGTATTAGCGTGTAGATTTCAATTTTTGTACAGTCTAATCTCTAATTGTCATACCCTTCAAATTTCATATAAAGAAATACTTTTAACCCAAAAAGCTAATTATTCTTTCTTAGAACTGGTTCTCTTTAAAATACAAAATTGTGTAATATCCCACGTAGGCTATCTGTAATCAGATGTAATCACATTTAATAGAAAAGGCTATATACGATCCGCCACCTGCAGCATCCTTGCATGCCATAAAGCCTACTAGCCGGGACAACTTCATGTTTACAGACGTGACAAAATGACGTGGCGGCATGTTTGAATTTCCCGCGAAAACCTACCAGTACCACTCAAATTAGAAAACATTATTATAAGCTTACCGTTGTGAATCGAGCTTAGGTAAGGAGATAGTTTTGAACACTGGCTGGTTATGTACTCGCTCAAAAATCGATTTTGGATCATTTTTAACCAAAAGAAAGTTACGGACTGCAGCTTTAAGAAACAATTTTGATCATTAATCATTATTTCATTCATCAAAACGAAGATAGATTAAAATTGATACTGTCAGCCCATTCCTAACATACACACATATGTGTAAAGGCAATAATAAAATGCATTTAAATGCCAGTGTATTAATACTGAAGTGCAGACCTATTTCTTTGGCCATAGCGAGACCTTGAGGGTAGGTGATGGGTGTGAGTTTCTTCTCTTTCAACTTTTCTATAGTGTCCTTGTCGTCTCTCAGGTCAAGCTTAGTCCCAACCAGAATTATCGGAGTGTTGGGACAATGATGTCTGACCTCTGGATACCACTGTTAAAGAAATCAAAACAGACAGATGTTGAGCTT